AAAAATCACTGATATAATATCTTTTATTTTTAATTAAAATAAATTTAATTAATATTTTTTTTAAATGTAAGTAATCTTTTTGTATATATGTTTTATTTTATATGATGTAAGTACTTTTCAAAAAATTGTTTAGAGACTTTATCGATCAAAATATGAATGTTCATTAGCTTTTTTCATGTTTTTTCCATGCTTTTTTCATTATTTTATTACGTTAATTAGTTTTATAGGTAATAAAAATGTATATAACAGATTTTAGAAAGTCCAAGTAGTTGTTTAACAGGTTTTGGAATGTCCAAGGATTTATTTGTTTAAAAAAATTGTCCAATGACTTAATCATTCCAAACACGAAAGTCCATTGAGTTTTTTTAGATTTTTTCAATTTTTTAAAGTACGATGCCTTAATAAAAAATAATTTGAAAATACATTGTTGTAATAAGAAAAAACAAAAGTAGAATGTTATAATAAGAAAAAACAAAAGTAGAATGTTATAATAATAAAAATTATGAAAGTAAATTGTTATTTCATACATTTGACTCTATGTTAATATAGACCATAGAGGTCAAATTAAAGAAGATAATATTTTATTTTTTATATAATTTATTATAGTTAAAATTTAATTATAATTCAAATATTTTTAGATTTTAAAATAAGTGGAAGTTATTTTAGTTGTACGAATAAAACTTTATTTAATTATAATTTACGAATGTTAAAATTACATCAAGTTAATCTTCAATTAATTTTGTATAAAACTTATTATTTAAATAAGTATGAATTTGTTGTTTAAAACTTTAAATTATTAACAATTTGTTTTTATAAGTATAGTTGTGTGTTTTTGTAATGCACAATTCAAATAGCTGGATTAGTTTATTAAAAATAAAACGAATAATTAGGTCAGTTTTTATATAGTATATAGTGTGAAACATGTAAAAAGCAAGTTAGCCGCATGATTGTGAAATGAAACCTCATCCTTATGTGAAGTTTACTCGAAAACAAAACAAGTAGTCGTGTCAACTTTATGCAAACTCGGGCAATGTAATGAAATGTTTGACCATGACATTTGACCTTCTTACATTTGTTACGACATCGTTTTTCTAGGTCGACCTTTGCCATTCACATCAACGCGAAATGTATTATGGTTCGAATTTTGATACTATTAGCTTTGTATGGTTTGATCAAACTACATATTTATTAACTTTAAACCAAATTAATTTAGTCTAATTACCGACTCTTTGGTTGAAGTGAACCATCTATAACTTAGAGATGTATAAAGAAGTCCAAACCCCAC